CGATGACAAGACTCCCATCGAAATTACATCGGGCGAGTGCCTCCAGGTCCCCGGAACCACCGATTACTTCCAAGTCAATGCGACGGTGGCAGACAACAGCTTCGATGTCAAGGGCCAGTGCGACTCGACCTGCAACACATGCAACGTGGGAATGTTTGGCAATCAACTTGGTAACTCCTGCTTTAGCGTCAACTTTGCCCGTGACTTTTCTGCCTCCACCCGAGTCTACCTTGTGGAGTCGCCTCCGACCGCCCCCGAGCACCCGAAGGTGCAATTCTTCACCGATGCCAACTGCCGATCGGCTTCGTACTCGATCAACTTGGAGAGCGATGATGAGTTTGCCTGCGTGACCAACGCGAGCCTTCCCTATTCCTTTGGCTTTGTTCACCTTGGCAACGACAAGGTTGCTCTGCTGGGCGAGTGCAACTGTAAGCAAAGAATGAGTAGATGTCTTGTCGTTGTCTTGTGGGGGAGGAGGCACTGCGTCGTGGTTGCAAATGCTGACAGACACGTGCCTTTGTTGTTTGTTTGTTTTTATGTTTGCTGTAACAGCGAACTGCAACAACTGCGAATTCAACGCCATTGGCAGCTTCGACCAGTGCCAAACCGCTCAAGGAAAGTACTTTGTGGTTGCAAAGAAGAGCGCTGCTGGCCTTCTCCAAGTCCCCACTCTCGCCATGATGTCTGCGTTTTTGGTTGCCATGTTCATGTCGAAGATGTTCTAAAATCCTCGGCATCGATGCGTGCATGCATGCATGGGGCTTCGTGTATTTTGCATTGTCTCTGTTTCTGCTTGGGTCGTGATCCAAGCAGGTGTGTCCAAACACAGCTCCAATACAGTACTGTACATTCGGCTGTTTTCTGACTCGAGCCATTTCTCGCCTTCGGTCGGTCATTCACCAGGAAATTTGCGGGTATACATTTTGCAATGGGAATTTTTCCCCAGTTCACTGAGGCCACTGTGCACCACCGCCCGCCGCCCTGACCCCATCAGGTTTGTACATGACCTGACAGCACCCCGTGGCTGCATGGGCGAGGACGGGGGACACCTGCATCGTCGTGTACGGATACCCCCTTTTTGTGTGTCGCGCCTGGTGACGAGGTCCCTCAAAACGGCACTGCAGCCCCTTCTACTGTACACCATTGGAATGAGCCGATTTTTTAGATATAGAATCATGTGCGAGACGGCCCGGAGCGAAGCGCTGGAGGCCGCACCAGGTTTCGGGTCCGTCGCAGCCAAGCCGACCGCTCGATCTCGGCCTAGACCGCACCCACCGCCGATATTATGGTCTCTAAAAATCTAGTAGATGGGTCTGGTACCTCCATTGAACGGGCGGGCCTGGGGCAGTGTCCGACTGCTGGATATGGACAGCCGTCCACGAGGCCTCAGGGCGCCGACTAGGACAGCCCGTTAGCGCCACCTCTAGTATAGAAAGTTAGCGCTTGGCATGGTGTATATGAATCCGGGATCGGTCGGGCGGTAGCGCTCGATAGCACGAAGAAGGACTGAATCGGACTTTCGAATTTCGTCCAAAACCTGCTAGCCCCGAGATCGATGCCTTTCACCAGCTCTGTCCGTGTAATCCATACATATTCCGATTGTGCAATGTCTGATGAGTTGGAAACCGTTATGGCGAGTGAGATGCCGCACGATGCGTCCGACTTGGCTTCGCACTCGTATCCAGCCATGTAGACACCTAGGAGCTTGACCAGCCATATATCAATGTACTCTATACACTCTATAGTATCCGCTCTATATCGCGCGTGGACAGTGATCGTTGGGCTCTAGTTGATGCACCCGACCAAACATTCGACGGGCTTTAACTTGCGATTTCCGAGTCGCATCCATGAAATATTTTACCAGACAATAGTAAATTAGTACTAGAGTCTAAATCATTGATGCGGAATTGCGGTGACATCTGGAGGGTGGATCACGAAGGGTCGGAAATGACCCATTTGGCGGGTGCTCGATCTTTGTCCAGCATCGTCCGATCTCTGATATTGTAACTTTTTCTTGCTTCTGACATGCATTAGACATCACATCTGCGGAGGGGCGGATGTGGTACTAAATAATGCGGAGTGGGATGAGGCCAAAGTTTCGGCCAACTCGCAAAACCATGGATCGAGTGCCCGGTCGTTTTACCGGCCGTCCATGCTGCCACCGGTACGTGATAATACTTACCAATAGTGTCAGAGTTGCTTTGCTTTTGTTCCGACCGATTCCACTTGATAGAAGCCGACTTAGCGAATCGTGCAAATGGTCTTCTTGACGCTTCTCGTGTGACCACCACTGCCGTGATACAACAAGTTTCGAGGTTTTAAAAGTGTTGTCAGATAATTTACATTTGAATCATAGCCGTTAGTGGCCATTGGTACTTGCGTATCTTGTCGTGGGATGAGACTTGCTTTCAGTGACTCGACCGCGGCTTTGGGGTGCATGAACGCCTCAAGATCCCATCCCCATCCATGTTTATCAGTATTTTATCGTTTTCTGTGATCAGTGGGCCTAGTCCATAGCACTGGCTGGTGGCAGAAACTTGAGTGCGCTGAATTCCTCTTCGCGCTTGAGTCTGTCTCTTCAAGCTGATCTACCTCAAGCAGATCGTGCTTCAGACCAGGTCTATGACATGAAATCGATAGTAGCATCAATTCTAGTTACGTGGCTATCCAGGATGAGGCATGAAACCAATGTTGTACCCCTAGAATCATGTTCCTTCGGCGAGCTAGTTTTGCTGATCCAACTCCGTCTGTCTACGCTAGCTAAATCGTCTAAAACCGTACCCATATGGGATAGATGAATTAAATACATAAATTAAACATAAAACACAGAGCAGCGGACTAAACACCCTTCAAGCCTTTGATGCGGGCGGTGTCAGCAGCGGGCGGCATCAGCGAACCACTTGAACCGCA